CAGGTACAGAGGCCAGACACCTGGGTGGCTCGGGGTGGGCAGGCGGCCCAGCATGCGATGAATGGCACACAGATTGCTGAGACAAGGATGAATAGGATGCACACAGCAGTGCGATGCCCAGAGGACGGCGCGGCCAAAACCACAGGAACAAGGCGCCGGCCCTGGGCCTCGGGCCCGGCACGCAGACCTATGTACCTTGTGTCAATGGGCAATTCAGCAGACCCAAATGGGGTACAGGCTGTCCAAGACCCTGGTGACCACAGAATGCAGCCCCTGTTCCCAGATGAACAGGGAGGTCACCCAGCTACATGGAAACTCCAGGTATTCACAAATGTAGGGTACAAGACACCACTCTAGGGTTCTCCTGGATAAAGAGGGACCTTGAGACTCTCACAAAGCTGTGAGATAAATGGGGTCCTAGATCCCCCAGCTCCCTGAGGCCCTTGGAAGATGCATCTAGTCACCCAGTGAATGGATTCCATTATGATGGGACATGTGTCCTCACACTTCTAAGGGATGGAAGACTCACCCAGATACTCCAGAGAGCAGGGTTCAAGTCCCCAGAATCTCAGCTATACATCCTCAAACTTGGGGTATCATATTCAAGGAACTTGCTATTTTACATCATGTTCAAGTGGGGTTCAGAGTCCTGATGCACAGTTTCCCCCAAAACTCAAGCAGGAAACATGGTCTCTAGAGGCCCAGATAAAGGGGGGTCACCTCTCCAGATGCTGAGATGGTGAAGTGTAACCTCTCTGGATGCTTAAGAGATGAGGTCCACATTCCTCTGGTGTTTGAGTGCTAGAATAGTGCCCCCCAAGATGCTCAAGTTAAGAAGGTACAGGCTCCCCAGATGTTCAGAAGTTGGGCCACAACCTCCCTAGGCATTTGGATAGTGGGGTTCATCTCTGTTGCAATGATAAGACATTTGGGGTGTAGCCTCACCCTGAGGAAAAAGAGTGTAGACACTCTGAGTCAATACACAGGTTACACGGAGGACCATCACAAGTTGAGCACCCATTCTTGGCCATCCCAGGTCCCAGGTGGAAGGGGTACCCAGAGGGATTGGGTCCCCAGCAGGGTCAGTGAGGGCAGCGAGCACGCGCACCGTCTCAGCACGTCTCCCGTCTCCGTGCCAGAGGCTCAGGGCTCTCTTGCCAGAGTCTGCCGTGTGTTCCGACCTCAAACATTCCCCAGGCACCCTCAAAGGAAGCATCCACGTCCAGGAGCCCCGCCAGGGTCTCCACGGGGCTGCTGGCTGCCAAGCCGCCGTCTGGGGGCCGCGGGCCTGGCCGTGGGCTGCCAGCTCTGTTTGGTTTTCTCCTTCCTGCCTTAGAACCTCAGACGCCGTCTCGCCACGGAGGCGCCCTCATTCTGGGGAGGCACAAAGCCCCTACACAGCAGGCTGGGGGAGCCACTTGTGAGGACTGGAGCTTGGTTGCATGGGTCCTAGTGAGCCCCAAAATGCAGGTGCCTGCTTGCTGACCCTGCAGGCAGGCTCCTGGCCTCTCTGGTCTTAGTTATTTCCATGTCCCTCTCACACTGCCTGGGTCACACTAGAGGACACACTTCTTTCAGGAGTCGATGTCCATGTCTACACACCCAGAGCCACTGGTGAGTAGCACATGTGTAACTACACATCCTACCTGCCGTGGCCCTGGGGGCATCCTCCAGGTCTCTCTAGAAGTCCTGTTTAACCAGCCTGGAGGCTTGGGGCCGGTGAGGCCGGTCATGTTAAGCATTAACTAATCCAATATCTGGCTATCAGCCTCAGATAAGACACCCTGCCTGGACTCTGGAGTGACCAGACCTGACCAACTGGTCAGAGCACAGTGAGAACTCAGATGACAAGCCCTGGTTGGGTCCAACCGAAGGGACAGTCACCAAGATCAGACTGCTGCAAGGATTTGGCCACCGCATGAGGCCTTGTCCACTGGGAAACCAAAAACTCGAGGGAGTAGGTCAGGATGGCCTCCAGAATGTTCTCTGGGGTGGCATCAAAGCCAAGCAGGCCCCATGGCCCTGGGGCAGCTCCCTTATGGGCTCCCACCCTAGGCCTGTACTGCCAGGAGGGACGGCTCTCCAGCTGGGCAGCTGTGGTTCAGGCCTGCTGGGTGTGTGAGCCTGCACCGAGTTCAGCCTGGTGGGCCTGTCCCCCCATCTTGCAAAGCTTGATGTGGCTCAACATAACCCCCAGACTTAGAAAACTCTGGAGATAACCCAGTCCAGATACAAGGCTCTAGAGTTTCAGATTGAGGGGTGACCTTCTTCCTCAAGGGAGTTTCCCCAGCTTCTGAGGGCCAGCAGTTCCGGCCATGAGGTGGGGCTCCAAAGCCCTGCCTCTACCCCCACCCCCCACCCCCACAAGGCTCTTTCGATCACTAGCGGCAGACGCTGTGGTGTGGGTTCCAGGTGCTGCCCAAGAGTGGACCAAACAGCCTCCTGGTAGCCTGGGTCTGAGGAAGCAGCAGGTATCAGGTGAGGGAAGGAACGAACATCCCTATACTTGGGTGGCGGTTCTTGCTCTTCTGGGGGATGGGAATACGGAAACCTTCTCCCGCTGAAATGTGACAAGGTCTGGTTAGACTGAGGGTGGAGGGAGTGGATAGCAGGTCTAACTCAGAAATAATGAGCAGCCAGCCTTGGGCTGCCAGGGAATTTGGAGAGGCCCAGTGCTGCTCTGTGTGGCTTCTGTCATAAAGTGACCACTGGGTGGTGTCCAGCACAAGACCAGGTGACTTGGAGGGACCCTGGAGGGCTTCCTGGAAGAGGTGTGGTTTAAGCAAACCTTGGAGGGTGAGTGGAATGAGATAGGCTTGGACAATGGAAGAAGGCCTCGGCCCCAGAAGTGAGCCGGATGCCTTTCCTGGAAGGGATTGCAGAGGTGGATCCTCAGCGTCACTGGGACGGAGCGGGGGATGTAGCGGGGACACCTGTCTCCTTTCTGGGTCAAACAGGGCTGGCCCCTAGAAAGGGTCTTCCTCAGCAGAACCACAGAAAAAAGTCAGCAGGAAGGCCTGCCTGTTGCCCCAGGTCATACCAACAAGGACAACCAAGTCCCTGGGGTGGGTCTGGGGCACCAGAGAGCGCCTCTCCTCTACCTGTCCTGCCAGGGCCCTGGGCTCCTTCCCTAAAGCCCTTATCTGCAGGCTGAACACTGTGGCTTGGTGGGAACCAGTGGGGAGCATAGCGCCACCTGGTGGCTGTATTTCCACCCGCACCTTTACCACCACAGGGACCCGGGGGTCCGGCGGGACCATGAGCTCTCCAGGTCTTGAGAATTCCTCCAGTGCCAGTGCCTGGTGTTGCCAAGCTTCCAGAATTCTCTAGATCCAGTTTCCTGACAGCCCGAAGTCCCCTGTGGATATGTGTTAGCACCAGGTTACCCAAGATTCCTGTCCTGACACATGCTCTCAGTCTAAGGAAAGAAGGACCTCAGCCAAGAAGGGGCACAGAGGAGCACATGTGTGTGTGTGTGGGGGGGGGGGGGGACAT